AGTCCCCTTAAATCTGATCTTCCCATAAAAGCCACCTGGCTGGTTTTCTAAGTCTCTGGAGCCCAAGAAAACACCCCCGGCTTCCACATTCAGAAACTTGTCGCCTTCTCCATTAACCTGCCTGCAGCTTGCTGCTTGGTGTTTATTTAACTCTCGCCCCAGCTCATAACTCAAGCTGCCGTGCACCCAGCTTAGCAGCTCACAACCCCAGGGAGATCTTCTCTATTACAGCAAAGACGGGCTCTTTTGCAAAACTCAGCTAGCAGGAAACAACTCCTGTTTACTCTCTCTGGCTTGCGCTCCATCTGTGCCTGCTTAAGGTACCATATTTAGGTTTTCCCCCACCGTGCATCTGCTAGCTTTTAAATCATTTTGGAGAAGCAACATTTTCAAGTCACTGATTTTCCTTCACAATATTCTCCGTTATGGTCCATTTAGTGGGTTTAGAATAGGGGGTCGGCAGCTACCAGCTGCTGGGCCAAATCTGGCCATCTTTCTGGAACATATGAACAAAGAAAATTGCTCCTACCCAGTCAGACCATTGGTCCATCTATCTCAGTGTTGTCTACACGGGCTGGCAGCAGATGTCCAACTTTGGACCAGGCCCTAGCTAACAGGACCAGTGGTCAGGGATGATGGGAATTGTAGTCCCAAAATATCTGGAGGGTTGAGTTTGCCTATGCCTGCTTTGGACCAACTGATAGACGAGGAAGACGAATTTTATACTTCTGCTGTTTTATGACAAAGTGTCATCTATCAGATGTGGACCAATGGCACTCTATCCAGTTACAATATCTCCAAAGAGGTTTGTTTGGGCTGGCAGCATTTTCTGCTTCTGAGACATCCAAGATACTGGAGAAATTGGATAACCCGTTTGGAAATGAAAACGTCTGTGAATACTTTGTATAGCTATTTATTTACAATCAATAGGTTTGATATGCAGACTTTGAGAAAGGACTGGAATAAAGAATTAGAACGTTCAATATTACCCAGACCGTGGGAAAGTGTTTTAGCCTTGATACCAGTGCTTTTTTTCTGGGGGGTACCCCTAAACATGTTGTGAATCTTTGTACTTTTGTCCATTTACTGTATTTATTTTTCCCAGTTTGAACTATAAAATGGTCATTTTCTTGAGTCAAAATTAGAGTATCCCTAAACATTTCTTTTTTTTAAAAAAAAAGCACTGCTCAATACCAAAGCTATTGATGGATCTTTAAATTAAGACTTATACAACCGAAAATAATATTGATGTTTTATTTGACTCCTTTTGTGTATAAAAAAAGGGCTTTCCAAGATATCTATATGCTGAAGTTGCAGCAAGGACAATGCCTCATTGAAATATACATTTGTACAGTGTTCTATAGAGTGGTGTTGCATGGACAAACAGCGTGTGGCGAGGGCGCGCATGTGCCAAAGAGGTGAGTATGTGCTGGGTGCGGAGGGTGAAGGAGCTGGCCGTGGCACCCCAGCTCTTACCACCGGCACTGCCAGGGGGTCCCTACTTCATGCGCCCTCGAAAACCCACACCCAGGGGTCCGTCCCCTCTGGCATCCTCACACTAAACCCTTGGTTCTATATTAAGTTTGGGGAGAAAGTGCTGCTCTGTATGACTGTACTTAAAGGTAAAGGGACCCCTGACCGTTAGGTCCAGTCGTGACCGACTCTGGGGTTGCGGCACTCATCTCGCTTTACTGGCTGAGGGAGCTGGCGTACAGCTTCCGGGTCATGTGGCCAGCATGACTAAGCTGCTTCTGGCAAACCAGAGCAGCGCACGGTAACACCGTTTACCTTCCTGCCAGAGCGTTACCTCTTTATCTACTTGCACTTTGATGTGCTTTCGAACTGCTAGGTTGGCAGGAGCAGGGACCGAGCAACGGGAGCTCACCCCGTCGTGGGGATTTGAACCGCCGACCTTCTGATCGGCAAGTCCTAGGCTCTGTGGTTTAGACCACACCGCCACCCATGTCCCAATGACTGTACTTACCCAATTCCAATAGCAAGTGTTTCTATGCAGAAATTCCTTTCTGATGTCTCATTATTTTTGCTGATGTTGACTTTGTTTCCTGTTATGCTTTTCGTATTCTATGTTGCCTCTGTATTTAACAATGGCACCAAAAATTCAATAAGAAATAAATGGAGGGCAGGGAGGGAAGGAAGAAAAGAAATCCCAAACCGGAGAACAAAAAGTGTTTTAAACTTGTAAAGAGGCTATATTGGACAGCTCCTGGCACACCGTGAGTCTGCAGTGTGTCTTTTGGCAGCGACCGTCACAAACCTAGATGGCTTTAAAAGAGCATGAGACAAATTCATGGAGGAGGAGAGAGCTATTGATGGTTATTGTTGATGGCTCTGCCCTGCTTCCACAGCCCACAAGACCGCTTGTTGGAAAATGCAGGAAGGGAGAGCGTTGGTCTTGTGTTCGAATCCTGCTCATGGGTTTCCCATTGGGACATTCGGTTGACCAGGGTTGCTGCTGGATTAGATGGGACTCTGGCCTGATCCAGTAGGCACTTCTTCTATTCTTCTGTTCTTATGATCACTCACTTACAGCAGCAGCCTGTGATAGCCTGGGACTCGGAACCAGAGGAGTCTCAGTCCGCTCCAGATCCTCTGCCTCAGGTGGCACCTGAACCAAGTCTGGGGCCTGATTCTGAAGAGCCCCAGTCTGCACAGGTTCCCCTGCAACAAGCACCAGCTGGGCCGAGACAGGGGCCTGATCCTGCCCTGGCTCCAGATGCAGGGATGACCTCATTGCCTTCAGCTGGGCCATCACTTACAGCTGCTCCACTACCGGTTGGGTCAGGGGAGGCTGAGGCAGCTTCTGGGTCTAGTAACCCACCGACATCTCCCGAGCTGCAGAGACTGAGGTCTGAGAGAAGGAGAGACCTGAGTACTCACAGGAGGAGTGTTCGCCTTCGGGTGAGACAGGGAGGTGAGTGGCCGGGGGATAAGGACCGGCCATTACCCCGACAGAGATAAAAGGCTGTCGGACCCCACCCCAGGTTGCGGGAGCAACATTGCTGTTTGCTAGAACCTGCCTGAGATCCTGTGCCTGACCTAGCCTGGTTTCCTGCCTTGGCCCTGTCAGGCGGACGCCTCGTGGAATCCCTGGATTCAGGGCCAGACCTGGACCGCATTGCTCGGGTTAACCGCCGGGCCCAGCACACAGCCCTCATGCCATTTCTCTTTTGCAGTGTGTGAATTATAATGCGTTACATGCAACCAAGGGACGTGGGTGGCGCTGTGGGTTAAACCACAGAGCCTAGGACTTGCCGATCAGAAGGTCAGCGGTTCAAATCCCCGCGACGGGGTGAGCTCCCGTTGCTCAGTCCCTGCTCCTGCCAACCTAGCAGTTCGAAAGCACGTCAAAGTGCAAGTAGGTAAATAGGTACCATTCTGGCGGGAAGGTAAACGGCGTTTCCGTGCGCTGCTCTGGTTTGCCAGAAGCAGCTTAGTCATGCTGGCCACATGACCCGGAAGCTGTACGTCAGCTCCCTCGGCCAATAAAGCGAGATGAGCGCCGCAACCCCAGAGTCGGTCACTACTGGACCTAATTGTCAGGGGTCCCTTTACCTTTACCTTTACCTTTACATGCAACCCAACTATCTGCCTGGGGTATTATATTTTGCACTGCTCAGGGAAGACGGGACGCGGGAAGGAAGGAAGGAAGGAAGGAAGGAAGGAAGGAAGGAAGGAGAGAGAGACAGAAGCCTTTTTCGAGCATAGCAAGCCTATCTGATGGAAGTAAAAGGGGCTGGGAGCAGGCATGGAGCAGATTGCCAAAGCCCCATCCCGCAAGTAGCCCATCATGTACCAGGTGTGCACAGCAGGTAACGCGCAGCAATTAAGTCTGAAGTGTGCCGGGGGGGGTGTTTATTCCTCCCGCTGGCACCCCTCCCCCAAATAATTCCCGGGGTGTTAATTGTCAAATCCTGAGGAATTGATTCAACTTTAGCAGCCACCGTGAGCTGGGAAGCTCTGGGGAGTGAGCTGAATTTAGGGGGAAACCTTAAAATGCAGCGGCTGCGGGTTTAGTGAAGACCCAGGGGGTGACCGCAAAGCAGGGACTGGTCGTAAGAAGAAGAACCCAGCCGCTGGATCAGGACCACGTGGTCCAGCACCCTGCTCACAGTCGCCAACCAGAAGCGCATTACAGAAACCCTGCTTCTTAACTAGGACTCCCAGCAACTGCTACCCCAGCCCCAATACTCAAAAGACCCCCTCATTGCCTACAGACCATCTCCGGTGCTGAGGGGGCACCTCTTAGTAGTTCTTCCACCCTCAGAGGCTCAGGAGGTGGTGGCCCAGGGAGAGAGGGCCTTCTCTGTGGTGGCCCCTGAACCGTGGGACTCCTTCCCCCCAGAGATGCACCTGGTTATTTATGTAGGACACCACTGCGGCCCGTGTTTTGTTAGCCCCCAAAATGGAAAACGAGCAAGGTCCCAACCGAAGAAGAAGTGGCAGCTTAAGTTGACAGAATGTGTGCAGCTTGTGGACTTAACATATAGAATAAGAGAACAAGAAGAACATAACGTTTAGAGAAGACTGGAAAACGTTTATTGAATATAGGGGAAATAGCTGTGTACAGCTGAAAACGCTGGCAGTATTAAGATAAATTCAACAGTGTAAATAAGTTTTGATGGGTGCAATAATGGAATACCGAATGTTATAATGTCTGTAAAAAGTGAAGCGATTTATGATATGTAACCATGGAACGAGAAGAAGGGAAGTCATTGATATCGTAAGGATGTAAAAATGAGTACTTTAAATTGTAAAACAAAACATGTAATAAAATTGAGAGGGGGGCACCTGGCACCTTCACTGCACAGCATTTTTTTTTTAATTATTATTATTATTATTATTAATACCCTGCCCATCTGGCTGATTTTCCCCACTCCTGAGGATGCTAGAGACGCAGCTCTTTGCGCTGGCTGCTTATCATAGAATTGTAGGGTTGGAAGGAAACACAAGTGTCATCTAGTCCAACCCCCAACATTTTTTGCCCAACATGGGATTTGAACCCACAACCCTGGGATTAAAAGCCTCGTGCTGTACTGACTAAGCTATGCCAGTGGTTCAAGAAATGCAGGTTAGGTGACTTTTCACGCTCTACCAACTGAGCCCCTTGTTTGCTTTTAGGACACACTTTTTATGCTTGCAAGTTCTAAATTGTTTATTTAATGTTGTGTTTAAATGCTGGAACCTGACCTGGAATAAATAATATTCAGAGCCCTGGTGCTTACGACAGTGGAAGGAGAACGCAGGCATTGTGAGTAGCCAATCTGCAGGGAAAAGGAGGACTTTTCTTTGTCTGATGAAAAGAGTATAAGTAAGTAAGGCCAAGTATTGTTACCCCTCCTCCTGGATCGAGGCCCTGGCAACTGCCCCCAAAACAGCAACAGCAACACACTATCGATTCAAAAAATATTCTCACCATAGTTTGGCACTAAGTTGAGGAATCTCAGAGCTTGTTCTCCTGACTCCAATGCAACCCTGATCAGCTTTTGTCTCGGCAACATGCTAGCACATGCCATGTGTTCGAAGAGCCACTGGCGGTTTTCCCCAGGGGAAGCAACACTCTGGGTTCAGAGAGGACGGGGAGCAGATGCACACAAACCGTGCACTTCGCACATTCTCAAAGAAGCATCGCCCACCCCCTGCCGACATCCGGGACCAGGCGCCTGGGTTTGTTTTCCGACTTCTCTCAGAGAGTTTGGCCAGCTATCTGTTGTTGTTGTTGGCATCTGTCTGTCTCTAGAGACAGTGGAGTGAGCCTCCAGGGATGACATTAAACTGTGTACTGACCTCCCCGGTGTGATGGCCTGGGACTGGGGCTCGGACTCGGAACCAGAGGAGACTCAGTCTGCACCGGATCCTTGCCTCAGGCATCATCTGAACCAAGTCTAGGGCCTGATCCTGAAGAGTCCCAGTCTGCACAGGTTCCCCTGCAACAAACACCAGCTGGGCCGAGTCCGGGGCCTGAGCCTGCCCTGGCTCCAGATGCGGGGATTACCTCGTCGCCTTCAGCTGGGCCATCACTTACAGCTGCTCCACTACCAGTTGGGTCAGGAGAGGCTGAGGCGGCCTCTGGGTCCATTAACTTACAGACATCTCCCGAGATGCAGAGACTAAGGTCTGAGAGAATGAGAGACCTGAGTACTCGGAGGAGGAGTGCTTGCCTTCGGGCGAGACAGGGAGGTGAGTCACTGGGGGATCAGGACCGGCTGTTACCCGGACAAATATAAAAGGCTGTCGGACCCCACCCTAGGTTGCGGGAGCAACGTTGCTGTATGCCAGATCTTGCCTGAGATCCTGTACCTGTCCTTGCCTGGTTTCCTGCCTCGTGTCCTGCCTTGGCCCTGTTGGAATGACTCCTAGCGGAACCTCCGGATTCTGGTCCGGTCCTGGACTGTGTTTCTTGGCTTACCCCCGGGCCCAGCACACCTGGGTTGCAAGACTGGGCAGCATATATGGAGGTCCTGGGCTGCCCAGACAACAAGACCACTCCTCTCGGCCTCACTGATGTGGTCCAAAGGAAAGCAGAGCAAGACATTTGGCACCAGCTTGGCTGCAGGAGTTGCTGGAGGGAGGCAAACAAGACGCCGTCCAACCATCTTAGGGACTCCACTCTGGAATTGTGTAGGGTTTACTCCTTAGCCTTTTCTTCTCCCGAAAATATCCCGCAAGGCACCCGAGGTTTATTTATTTTTTATTTTTTTAAATGATATTTATTAGAGTTTCCAATAAAAAGAACACATCAGTAAAAAAGAATTAAAAATAATAAAAAAAAGAAAAATACACAATTCAAAAATACACAATACATAATACAAAAAAAAAAGACAAAAAAGAAAACAGTTAAAAACAATGCCACCTTTTCATCACCACTTTTCAATTTACTTATTTTCTGGACCTCCTCATACCTCCCTCTTTTGTATTCCAGTTCAATTTGTTTGTCCAGCAATTTCTTTCCCTCTTTTTTAATCCCAATCCTTAATCTTAATATAATATAACATTAAATTTTTACCTCTTAAAAACCAATTTTCCATTTCTTTTAACTTTTTTAATCCTAATCCTTAATCTTGATCTATATATAACTTTAAAGCCTGTATAGCTAGAAGCCACTTAATTTCAATCCAACATCACTCTAACATTCTTTAATTTTGCAATGTTTCTGCAGATAATCTTTGAATTTCTTCCAATCTTCTTCCACCGACTCTTCTCCCTGGTCACGGATTCTACCAGTCATTTCCGCCAGTTCCATATAGTCCATCAGTTTCATCTAAGGCAGCCAAGGTTTAAAACCAGAGTTTTCCTTCTAGATGGGCTTCCTTCCCAGGTGGACGAACCCCATCTGCCCCTCCCTTCCCCTTATAGCATGGGCAGAAACCGCCTTCTTGACCATTGGAACTGCTACTGTTTTCGTCTGCTTAGTCCACCAGAGCCTGTCTTTGCATGCAGGGGAAGCTCTTAACTCACCAAGGGCTTGAGACCCATCGGTTCCCTTACCTGGTTTAGCTGGCCAGTCGGAGTCGTTTCCCGGGGTGTGGACCCTGTCGCATGCTGTTAGCTTCTAGGAGCCACAGGTAGTGGGAATAGAATCATAGAATTGTGAGGTCCCCTGAGGGATGCTTTGATTGAGATTCTGTCCTTATAGGGGGTTGGACCAGATGATCCTTGAGATATCTTCCAACTCTACAACTCTATGATGTGTGTGTGTGTGTGTGTGTGTGTGTGTGTATAATTTTTATTAAATTTTCTGTTTTATAGTTTAAAGTACTCATTTTTACACCCTTAACATATCAATGACTTCCCTTCTTCTCTTTCCATGGTTCATTTTACATATCATAAACCCCTGCATATTTTACAAAAACTATACCATTCAGGAACGCGGGTGGCGCTGTGGGTAAAACCTCAGTGCCTAGGGCTTGCCGATCGCATAGTCGGCGGTTCGAATCCCCACGGCGGGGTGAGCTCCCGTCTTTCAGTCCCAGCTCCTGCCCACCTAGCAGTTTGAAAGCACCCTTAAGTGCAAGTAGATAAATAGGTGCCGCTTTATAGCGGGAAGGTAAACGGCATTTCCGTGTGCTGCGCTTGTGCTGGATCGCCAGAGCAGCTTCGTCACGCTGGCCACGTGACCCGGAGGTGTCTCTGGACAGCACTGGCCCCCGGCCTCTTAAGTGAGATGGGCGCAAAACCCTAGAGTCGGACACGACTGGCCCGTACGGGCAGGGGTACCTTTTTATAGCATTCAGTATTCCATTATTACACCCATCAAAACTTATTTACACTGTTGAATTTATCTTAATACTGCCAGTGTTTTCAGCTGTACACAATTATTTCCCATTCTTCTCTGGTTGGGACCTCGCTCATTTCCTATTTTGGGCCGCAGTAGTAGCATACATAAATAACCTTTCTTGACACCTGGGAATTTCAGTCTCAATGATCCCCAGCAGAAAGGACACTGGGGGTTTTGGGGAAAGTATTTTTAAACTTTTTTAAAGAAGGGGAAGAAATGGAGGCAGTGAGAGATTTTACTTTCTTGGGCTCCATGATCACTGCAGATGGTGACAGCAGTCACGAAATTAAGAGACGCCTGCTTCTTGGGAGAAAAGTGATGATAAACTTAGACAGCATCTTAAAAAGCAGAGACATCACCTTGCCAACAAAGGTCCGTATAGTTAAAGCTATGGTTTTCCCAGTAGTGATGTATGGAAGTGAGAGCTGGACCATAAAGAAGGCTGATCGCCAAATAATTGATGCTTTTGAATTATGGTGCTGAGGGAGACTCTTGAGAGTCCCATGGACTGCAAGAAGATCAAACCTCTCCATTACGGAAATCAGCCCTGAGTGCTCACTGGAAGGACAGATCCTGAAGCTGAGGCTCCAAGACTTTGGCCACCTCATGAGAAGAGAAGACTCCCTGGGAAAGACCCTGATGTTGGGGAAGATGGAGGGCACAAGGAGAAGGGGACAACAGAGGACGAGATGGTTGGACAGCGTTCTTCGAAGAAACCAACATGAGTTTGACCAAACTGCGGGAGGCAGTGGAAGACAGGAGTGCCTGGCGTGCTCTGGTCCAGGGGGGTCACGAAGAGGCAGACACCACTAAACAACTAAACAACAACAACAACATTTTAAAACTTTTTACCCCCAATTCATTATGGATCATTTCCAAACAATCCATACAACTCTACAGTTCTGTGAAACCAAGGGATGCCCTGTCTTTTAGGTCACAGAACTTAGAATCATAGAATCATAGAATCATAGAGTTGGAAGAGACCACAAGGGCCATCGAGTCCAACCCCCTGACAAGCAGGAACACCATCAGAGCACTCCTGACATATGGTTGTCAAGCCTCTGCTTAAAGACCTCCAAAGAAGGAGAAACTTGTTTTCAATGACAGCACCAATAAAAACGGCGGTACTTCTGGGCCTGTACAGAGTGCTTTTTATTTGCTTGACACCGCTGGAGGGGAGAGGGTCCTTGTTTTTGAATCCTTCTTGCTGGTTCCGCACTGGCATCTGGTTGGCCATTGCGAGAATCCAGTGCTGGACTAGGTGGGCATTGGCCTGACCCACCAATCTCCTCTTATGTTCCTACTAATACAGCACAATGTCTAGAAGATTTCCAGAAGAGAGGCATTGCCTTTCCAGTGGCTGGGAGCCCTCAAACTTCCCCATTTGAAATTCAGCACCGCTCAGGCCAAACTCAATTCTTTCTCCTCGGAGGGGGAGCTCAGGCAAGCTGAACCCATCACGAGCGCAAGGTGAACAGGAGGCCCAATTAATGCGCAGAGCCGGCAGTTTGGGAAATGAATTCCACAGCTTCGACACACAAGGTGTTAGCAGGCGCCAGCCTCGCGCACCATCTGGTCTCCGAAAGCAGCACTCCGTGCTCAAGATGTTCTTGCTCCCTGGCAGAATAATCCGAGGGGGTGGGGTAGCAAAATGCACAGAGAGAGAGACATGGAGAGGCAGGCAAAACTACGAAGGGCAGGAGAGACTGCTCCTCAAAATGAGCCAAGCTCCAGCAAGCCCACGTCGAGGTCAAACTCCCAGATCTGGGAGAT